CAGGGCTCTCCATTTAGGCTTCAAAACAGCCATGTAATGCTATGTGAAATTCTATGCAGCCATGATATAGCGTGGCACGCAGAGAGCAAACACACATACATTCACAATCATATCATCAAAGTCTGGCATGTCCATGATAGGTCAATAGAGAAATTCTATGATAAACTGTATAGCTCTGTTAGATAACATGCCTGAGTTACACTGAGAGCAAAAGGGGGTGTCCATTCAGACATTGCATATGTTTCATTTGATCAGTGAAAACTCTAGAAATAATCTGGATGACAGTTATGACTAGAGTGTCCAGTTTATCTCCCTAGGTAAGCAAGTGTACTTAAATTCAGGTGACTGGGACTAGAATCTACCAGCTTCTGTTTTATCTCTGATCTTTTTCTCAGTGAAGTTTGCATTTAATCTGTCTTTGTCTAAATATCTATAACCTAGAAACAAACATCATCTGTATTTCCTTTCCTCAGAAAGAAATCAGGGAGATTCAGGAACATCATGATTCTCAGATGAAAGATTTTATGTATCTGGAGAAAGACACTGGTAAGCAATCACTTCTAAATTCACATTTCCCAGATGCTGCTAAAAACACATAGTATGAAGCAGATTGGACACAAATGAAAACTGTGATCGGCCACCTTTTGTTTTTCATATAAGTGTCTGTGCTATTTCTTATCTAATTGGAAACTGGCATGTGGTCGAAGCTTCATCTAGCTGCAAGAACCCAAAAAGCACCTGAAGATACCCAACATTGCTTACATAAATTACCAAACACACTGCTGTGGTATTTCAAAAGCCACAAATCTTGTCAATCAAATGAAGTTCTAAAGAGTTTACTGACTGTCACTTAGGATCTTCATTGTGTCAAGGCAGAAACATTCCTTGGACACATTTAGAAAGGTTGCCTCACCAGTCATCCTCTGTGTCACCAATTACTTTGTCCCTTACTCAATGATCTACTAAAATTCTCATAGCCATAGTTGCAGTTAGAATCATTTTAACTGGAACTACCCACTGGAACAAGCAAAGTGCAGAAAGCCTGATTTTGTAAACAACACAGCAATAATCTGACTGCAGTATTTAACCATTAAATCCAGAGGATGAAGAATTCTGTAGGAATATTAATACACCAGATTACGTAATTAACTTGTGAAAATGTGCTTTAGTCTCTTAAGAGTATAATTCTAGAAAACTTTGTGTCCTCTAACCATAGTCTAGTAATGTACCTCTGGATGGTTTAATTTCAAGATGCAGCATAATGTTTTCCCCTGACAAAATGAATAGAATATATGAAGTAGATTATAAAGAAGTTGGCATTTTAAAAATATAGCCGTTGTTCACCTAGCTGGCTATAAAACCTGTCTAGTTTCTTTCCACTTGTTATCAACCCTGGAGTCTGATTACTTTCAATGGCACAATTTCAAAGTAAGTGGCATGCCACCTGCAAAAAACGCAACACAGAGATTTTTTCATGCACAGTTGATTCATGTATCTGTACAATCTATAAGGGAAGGTCAGGGAAGGGTAGTTCTGTGACTGATCAAGAAAAAGTCTTGTCAGAGGAAAAGGCAGTGGTCAGCTCTTCCCTTACACACCATGATTCCAGCATCTTCTCTGTGACTCTTTCTTGTGTCTCTTTGTGACCTCTCCCTGTGGCAAGCCCAGCAAGAGGACAAGGGGCAATGGTTACAAAATGAAACATAGGAGGTTCAACCTAAACATAAGGGAAAACTTCTTTACTGTGAGGGTGACAAAGGACTGGACCAGGCTGCCCAGAGAGGTTGTGGAGTCTCCTTCTCTGGAGACATTCACAACCCGCCTGGATGTGTTCCTGTGTGACCTAGTTTAGGTGATCCTGCTCTGGCAGGGGGGTTGGACTGGATGAGCTTTCGAGGTCTCTTCCAACCACTACCATTCTGTGATTCTGTGTGATTCTTCAGAAATGCCATGTCCTTGTATGATGTCTATAATGCCTCATGGCATAGATAAGCCATTACTGTAATAAACTCAGGAGTATATCGCTATACAGTCTCATTTCCACTATAACATTCTATGGTTTCAGATGGTGATCAAAGAGAACACTCAGTTCAAGCTTAGATCTAGCCTGTTTGCTGGCATATGTAAAGAAATAACCACAAATTTGAAATGCAATCTTCTAAGCATTATTGTATTTCAGCCTAAGTCTCATAAAAAGTTACCCACTCTCACTTCTTCCTCTTCCAAAGGAAAATAAATTTCAGTATTGATAATGCAACATATACACCAATTGTTTGCAATCAATTTCTGAATCAGTTGCCTCTTTCTGGTAGATACCTGAAACATTTAATGGTTTACAGTTTAATGGTTTATAGTTTCTTGGCTGCTTTTGTCAGTTGTACCCACTGTTTCATGCATTGGCTTATCTGCTTTTCGCTAAGGAGATATTTTATTTTTTCTTTCTGTCATAAGAGTTTTTATATCTTTTTTTCACCATAGTGTCTATACATTTGGGTAGTTTTAAGCCTCCTACTGAAGAGCAGTTCAGGAGGTGTTAGCCCTCGTTTCCTGGATTCAGCCCTTCCATTAAGTAGCGAACAAAAGAGATCTGAATTTTTTAAAGGGATGATTAAGAAAGAGAAAAACTGAATCTGAATGTGAATCGTCATCTTTCTAAAACATTAGAAGGGTTCAATAGCATTTTTAGCTGACCATTACAGAGTGGATATGCTGTGTCCAAACAAAAATGTACACAGTTACAGTACTTTGTAAAAGAACTACATTCGTTTGGTCCATTATCTGTCATTTCCACATTTGATGTGCCAAGTTTAGCAAATATAGATGACATGGGATAAGTTATTAGCAGCTGTATTTTCAAATAACATAATTTCTGGATATCAGGGATAATCCAAAACAAATAAGTGATTTTGTTCTGCATATACAGACAAAACTGTGCCAATTTCGAACTGTAATTTGAAATGTCTTTAATTACCATCACAGGCTTTATTTATTTACAAATAGTGGTATATACATTTCAAATTTTTTGTATCTTCACTCATCTGAGGCAAACAGTGCAATTCTAATTGGTCTTGTGCATTTTTCCACATGTGAAAAATCTTTGAAGTACCAAGTTTAGCAATCTTTGCTTCAGATTTTAGGTACAACCTATTTACTGTCTTTGAATAAAAATGACAGTGAATATGAAATCCTATTTCAGACTTGCTTTAAAGACTAGGTATGCAGCAAATAAGACAGCTAAAATTACACCTTGTTTAAGGGCATCTGCACTAATATACTACAAGCAGCCTGAAGTGAATGATGTATTTTCAATTACAACATCATACTCTCGTGTTTTCTCTGTCTCGGTTTTATTCAGAGTGCCAGCCTGGGGTCTCTTCCAGATTTATGTGTGTGTTGTAAGGGATGCAACTTCAACTAAAAGAATAATGTTAGCTACTCAAGTCTGCTAACACTCAATTTGCACTTTTTACTTACGGCTTTTTTCCAATTTTTGCTATTAGTTGCTGCCAGTTGATGTAAAAGAATGGTCTTTTTGTATGCAGACACTAGATTTTCTATTGCTTGTTCTTTAGTTAAGGCTTTGCTGTCATGAATGCTGGGCCTCTGAAAAATACTCCCTTGAGGCTTTGCATTAAAAGCTTTGCATATGTTTGCATATGTTTGTTATGGTAAAATCTAAAAAATCGAGCTTTCCATTATCAACTGTGAAGAGATTTTTCAAATCCTTTCCTGGCGTGCCACATCCATTGTACATTTTTAGCCCTCAGGTTAGTATCCCTAGTGGCCACATCAGATACAAATCTCCTAACAAAACATATCATCCCCATAAACCTCTGTATGCTTTCTTTTTCTGTAGATGCAAGGATATGGGCAACTGGTAGTATAATGTTGGAAGCCACCTCTACCCTGTTTTCTTGATTAATTGGGTTAACGTGTTTAAGTGGATTTTTTCCTTACCTCTCAGTTTACTATTTACTGAGGGTACCATGAGATCTCTTTGGAGTTTTTTGGAGTTTCTGGTTCTTCCCTTCCTTTTCCCATGAGAATACCATTTATGTAAATCAATATTGTAAAAGATCTTTTTTCCTTTTTTGTGAAATACAACAGGTATATAGCATAAGCATTAAAGCATTCATGGTAAAAGCAATAATAGCTTCCAAATGGTGTGTTAAAATGTGCAGATGTAAGCCTTTTTTTTTTTTGAGAAATATGCTGGAACTCAGAAGAAGCATCTAATGTAGGAAAAATATCAAAATATCTTGCAGCCAAAAATAATCCTTCTTCGTCCATATGGGAAAGTATTGCCGATTTACACATTTCACTTCTCAGAATATAGGCAGAGTTCCATATTTCTCTTCCAAAATTTATAAAGTACTAATTTATATCACAGCCTCTTCAAATGCAGTTTATCTAGCATATTTAAGAGATTCAGGGATATTCACAGCTATAGGTAAAACAGAACATTAAGGCTCTAACAGTTTTCAGTACCACCAGCTTCTCATTTAAAACATGATCCTCTGTCATCTTGAGGCTTCTGCTCCTCTCCAGTATATTCTTTCACAAAGAAACCTAGTATCTGACCTGAAGTGACTATTCTTATTTCCCACAAGTATTATAGATGCTAGCTTTTCAATATTTTGTTTTAAACTTGCATTTGTAGATCACTAATCTCGCTGCCTAATTTAAGTTTTACCTGCCTGCATTTAACAACACAAATTTTTCTTCGCAAATCCTTCCAACAGCTTCAAAGATCATATTGCCTTGGGCACAAATCTATGAGTAATAGGGAATCTGAATTTAAAAGTCAAACTTTCTTACAGTTATCCAGGATACTTTTTGCTGAGACCTTTCTTTTCCCTGTAATGCCAAATTAACAAAAGCATCCGAGGGTGGGTACATGAGGGTCAGGAGGGTGTGTGTTGAGAGTGACATCAACTGAGACAATAAAAGGGCTTCTAAGTCACTTAGAAGCTCTATTTTAAAGTTACATTTAAGGGGCTCACCAAACCAATTCAGTAGTCTTTAAATATACTTGACATCGAGAGACAGTCATCTGCCGACATACCCAAACAAGAAATCTGATTAAGATACTATTTGGTGAGTATACTCTATTTTACTTCCAAGTTCTCTAGAAGACTTATCTAGAAAATTTTATCATTGATTCTATACTCATTTTTACATTACCTTCTTTTCAGACTATCTTAAAAATAAAGTGAATATTATTAAGAGCAAACTGTTTTATTATCTGAATCAAATTTATGAAATAAAAAAGTAAATCTGAGACAGAGAGCTAGAAATATCTTGAAGTGACTCAAACTCCTGAATGTATAATATTGGGTTAGGTAGACTGTTAGGATCACATTCATGCTATCATGTAAGATACCATGTAATAAATGCTTTTCTGACCTAGAGTGAAGCTGCAGAAAATATTGCAAAGATGGCATTGTGGAGTTCTGTATTTCTTAATTTTCAGTTACTCTGTATCAGATTTCTTAAGTTATAACAAAAAGATGCTTTTTCTGGCTGCCAATACTGAAAATCCAAACTGGAAACTGATATTTGGACTGTGTCATTGCTGCCTGTTGTAACATCATCAGTAATATTTTTCAAATATATCCCAAGATATCGGTAGTTTTGCCTATGGTGTACAAAGCAGAGTGGAATTCATACTGGCATCACAGGATTATCACTGAAAAAAAGAGAGGGATTCAATTCTGATTTCTCTTATGTAATTAATTGGGGAATGACATTCAATAAAGTTATGCCTCTATGCAAAATTGTCAAGAAAATTGTCAGCCTCTTCATTCTAAAGAACAGGCAACAGAAATGGATAAAAGAACAAAACTTTTCACTTGCGTAGCTATACATAAGTGTTTCAACACACTTGGAGCATATAAAGTATAAAGTATTTAATAGTAATAGTGATAGCAATAGCGATAGTATTATTATAAGAACATGATGCTTTCCACCCAGTTAACCAAAAGACAGGTATCTCTGTGATGATGACACAGGCCAACTAAGGCTGACCAAAGTTTTTAGACTTGCCTGTGAAGTAAGTTGCTCACAACATTAGTATCAGAACTAAATTCTTCATATGCATTCCTTGTTCTAACCCATTTCACAAAAAATAATATTTTACAAAATCAGTTCTCTGATGTCTTTCTTCAACATTTTTCTAAACCAAGTTTCTTTGGAATTAACAGAAATTACTTGAAATACAGATTTATACACGTATTCATTTCTATCTTTGTAGACAAAATGACTTCTATAAAAAATTTGGCCAGGACTGCAATCATCTTATATGCCATATGCTTTTTCACAAACTCTGATGGAAGACCAATGATGTAAGTACATTATTATACATTTCCAGAGTTTGGAGGATGATTTTAACTGTTCTTGAGAACATGGTTGATTTGTCTCTATATAAGTTTATGTGTGTGCAAGTCTTTCTGCCGCTGCTTTGGAACCCTTTGGCCAAGCTGGCCAAATTCTAGATACAGCTGTAGAGATAGGTAGATAGATACTCTGAGTTCTTATGCAGTTTTTGAAAATAGGCAGCTGAGTAGAGGGAGAAAAATCATTTAAGTCTTTTCTCAGGAATATCATTGTGTAAGCTGCACCTCGTATTAGATGCTTGGGGAGGAGTCTACACAGGAGAGCATCTTTTTTACTGTGCAAGAATCTGGCTGGAACTCGCACTTAGACACTGACATCAGTCAGCATTGAGACACAAACCCACAGGAAATTATCCTTCCTTAGCTCTAGTGTTCACAGAAAACTACCGCTGAATAAATGTCATGATTTTATCAATCGGTTACCTATTGTCATATAAGCTCTAAACTCATCTACCACAGCTGAAACAGATTATAAAAATATAATCAAACAATAGTGGCATAAAACTGGACTACTTCCCATTTTTTATGCCTTCTCACTAATATATCCATTATCAATAACAAAGTACCATCCACTCTCCTTCTCTTCTATCCCTTACAAATTAGAAAGATAAAATCTATGGCTCTGTATTACAATACGTCACAAAAGTTCTGAAACCTGGGTTTTTGAGTGAAGATGTACAAGTCAAGAAGGGTCACTATGAGTCTCTTTCTTTGCTTTCTTTTTTCATGCAGGAAAAGATCAGTGAGTGAAATGCAATTAATGCATAATCTTGGAGAGCATCGACACACCGTGGAGAGACAGGACTGGTTGCAGATGAAGCTGCAGGATGTGCACAGTGCCCTTGAGGATGCTAGGACCCAGAGGCCCCGAAGCAAGGATGATGTTGTCCTGGGTGAGATAAGAAGTCGGAGGCTGCTCCCTGAGCATTTGCGGGCAGCGATGCAGAAGAAATCCAATGATCTGGACAAAGCTTACATGGATGTACTCTTTAAAACAAAGCCATAATGAAAACAGCAGGGCATTATGTCTGTCCAAGTAAGCATGTGTCTGTAGATCATTGATCAAGTAGGGCATTTTACTATTATTCACTCAAACTGCAATAAGGATTAAAGGCTGCACTCAAGAATGTAGCTCCATTGAGTTAGACATTTCACAACCAAATAATAAAATGTATTTACAGTCCATCCATGACCATTGCTGCTAATTTCTGGGTATCTTTTAAATGGCTAATGTATCTTACAAATTTCCAGCATTGAAAAAAACCAACAAAAACCCCAAAACAAACACCAAACCAGTAAGAAAGTGGAAAAATAATTTAAGACAAGTTCCACTGTACTCTTACATAGACAGCATTCGTATGTAGTCACTAGGCCTACTTGTAGTTTTAACCAACAATGAATAAATGCAGTAGAACCTGTCTCCAGAATAGGGCACCATTTTATCTTGGATTAAGATTTGGTTAACTTTGTACTAATGAAAATATGTAAACTTAGATACACATTTCTTTTCAGGAGAAGGCCTAGAATCAGATGAAGATTAATTACATAGCAAAAGCTGCATGATAATAATTTAGGATTAAAGAGTACAAACATAAGAAATTAAAGTAGGAAGGCAAAGCTTAAGATTAAAGTACAGTGGGATAAAATGAAAATGAGTTACGTATGAAAGAGAAGAATGAAATTTTGGAAAATACTGAAATGAAGGGTTTGATTACATTCCCCTCGTCCAAAAAATGACAAACTATAATTAACTGCAGAAACAGTGGGAACAGAAATGGTAGCATGTATCTAAGGCCCTAACTATAGAACTGGGAAATGATTCTATACCAGACAATTACGACTGAAACAAAAATCTTGCAAATTATATATTTTTGTCCCTTGTTTTCTCTGTACACTATCTCTGAATTTCTGCATGTTGTTTTAGGTCTCATTGTTTGTGAGATATAATAATATAAAATAAAATCACTCATCTTCATACACAAATTTTTGTAGAACTGGGACCTCAGTTTGCCAAATCCCCAAAATGAGAACCATTAACATGCAGAAATCCACACCTGGGAGAGGAACCATTAGCTGTAATACATTCAGACTCCAAGCAGGATTCAAAAAGAATCAGACATAAATATGGATGGGAAAAATCAATGATTAAAATAATTTTTACAAAAGCAGCAAATAGGAAATTATTTTGAATGACACATTTAGATATGTGCTTAGGACCCTCAGTCATTTCTGACTAATAAGAAAGTTTTCTCAGTAGGACTAATGGTGGTTTTCTCCAAATTTGCCATTGTTAGAGCTCCAACCTGGATGAATTGCTGCTCCAAGTCAAAATGTCTGTATGCATGTTCCCATATCGCTTATTTGTTTGTTTGATGTCTAGCATGCCTTGGGGAACCTAGTAAAAAACCTCATAAATCATTACAAATATAAATGCAAGCTTCTGGTGGCTAGAAAGGTACTTGTAACTAATGAACTGTAGTTCATAATCCTGGCTATACTTTAGTAATGTAAAGGCCCTGATGCTGCAAGCAGATGCCTGTGCGTATCAGTGCGCAGCCCATGCAGGCAGGGATTCCACGCTATATATCTGTTTGCAGAATCGAGGCCTCAAAGCGCACTTTCTATTTATTCTTTTATCAGAAGTCTCTGCTAACTTGATGAAAGAAAACTGCATTTTTGTACCTATGTCTCACTTATGTACTACCAAATAAAGTGGACCAAAAGCTCTTGGATGTTATTTTAAAGCATAATAACTGACTGACCTGTCACTGTTCTGATATAATCTAGCATTTGGGGCAAGATTATAAGCCATTTTATTTTATCACAGCAATATAAAGACACAAATAATGATTAAAGCAATTCTTAATTTTCCTTTTGTCTTTGCGGCACACAAAGTCACATTGATGGTTAAGCCAAAGGTGTTCACCTAGCACAAACCTATTTATGTACCTTTACAATAATAGCACACATGCAGAAACTATATCATTTTCAAGTGTTAAATTCATAAACTGTTTGCTTTTGACCTAAAGAAACAATTCTATTAACTAACAACTTGTTCTTTCTAATCTTCACCTATCCAGTAGGTGAAGGATGCTTACACAAATACTTAAACTTCCTGTACACTTCAAAAGACACTTGTTCCCTACAAAGGACTTTAGGGTCAGAGACAGACAATGCACCACTGGACACTGTTTAACTGGCAATATGGTCACAGACAAACTGTGCTCAGCACTTTCTTATTTATGTCTTATTTAAGTTCTCTCCTCTCCTCAGCGCTCATCTCAGTCCATTCTCTGCCCAGCCTGTATTTGTTCTTGGAATTGCCCCAACCCAGGCGCAGGACCTTGCACTTGGCCTTGTTGAACTTCAGGCAGTTCGCATGGGCCTCTCAAGCCTGTCAAGGTCCCTCTGGTTGGCATCTCTTCCCTCCAGCATGTCAACCGCACCACTCAGCTCGGTGGTGTTGGCAAACCTGCTGAGAGTGCAGTTGATCCCACTGTCCATGTTACTGACAAATAAACAGTGCCAGTCCCAGTACCAACTCCTGAGGAACATCACTCATCACTGGTGTCTACTTGGACACTGAGCCGTTGACCGGAACTCTTTGAGTGCAAACATCCAGCAAATTCCTTATCCACCAAGTGGTCCATCCGTCAAATCTGTGTGTCTCCAATTTAGAGACAAGAACGTTGTGTGGGACAGTGTCAAATGCTTTGCACAAAACCAAGTAGATGATGTCAGTTGGTCTTCCCTTGTTCACCAATGTTGTAACCCTGTAGTAGAAGGCCACCAAATTTGTCAGGCACTAGGAAGAGGATGGCAAGAAATAATAGGGCCATTGAAACACTTATATATGATAATAAATGGTAACAACAGCAGTCAGAAAAGAAATAAATAAAAAGAGGCACAATAAAGATATAAATCATGAACAGTATGGAGAGATAAGTGGTGTTGCCTACTTATCTTTCTAAGAGAGGCAAAGAATTGAGCTTGCATATGGCTGAATATAGAGCTTTTAGTTGGTATGAGCCAAAAATCTCATCACCTGCCAATGTCACTGGAGGTGGCAGTGACATGACTCTTGGGTTTGCTCGAGCTCCTTTCCCACACTTGCACTGGAACTTGCCTAAATGTACACCAGCTTGTGTACTTGCACGTAAGCACTAAGCAAGCCTGCACTTCATAACAGACTCAGACATGCATGTGGCTGTGAGAAAAGACTTCCTATGTCCCCTGCTATAGTGAGATAAGGTTAGAAAAGTATTAGGTCTACATCCTTTCACATCAACAGGATCAGCCTTCCAAAGATGAAGTGTCCCTAGAAGGATCCCTTCATAAAATCATAGAATCATAGAATCATAGAATGTGGGGGGTTGGAAGGGACCTTTAACGATCAGCTGGTCCAACCTCCCTGCAGTGAGCAGGGACATCTTTAACTAGATCAGGTTGCTCAGAGCCCCATCAAACCCGACCTACAATGTCTCCAGGGATGGGGCCTCCACTACCTCACTGGGCAACTAGTTTCAGTGTTTTACCACCCTCATTGTAAAGAACTTCCTAATGTCTAATCTAAATCTACCCTGCTCTGGTTTAAAACCATTACCCCTTGTGCTACCAGTACACACTCTTTTAAAAAGTCCCTCTCCAGCTTTCTTGTAGGCCCCTTTCAGGTACTGGAAGGCTGCTATAAGGTCTCTCTGGAGCCTTCTCCAGGCTGAACAACCCCAACTCTCATAGGAGAGGTGCTCCAGCTCTCTGATCATTTTTGTCGCCCTCCTCTGGACCCGCTCCAACAGTTCTATGTCCTTCTTGTGTTGAGGGCTCCAGAACTGGACACAGCTTTTCTCCCTGAAGAATGTGGTTTCTACGCACATACTTCCAAGGCAGAAAACCTTGCTTTCTAGTCTGCCAAGGGCTTTTTGCTAAGACCTGTGTCCTCGAAGACCTGCCCTGTGCAGATGGATATCTATTGTATACACCTGTTTTTAATAAAATTCTCAGTGGAAAGAAATACAATCATGTTTTTCAATCATGACTCATCATTGAAACAAGAAGCACCAATATCAACATCTATCCTCGGGGGAAGTAAAAAAGCAGCATGTGAAAAAAACCCAAACCCATGAAAAAGTAACAAAGCCAAAATCACAATAACTCTAATAAAAACTAGACAAATTGTAAGATCTGTAGGTAAAACCTACTGCTGGTGATTTAACTGCTGGTGATACGGCTTTTTTTAGTTGCTTCTAACATTGACTGCTGTGAGTACTAATATTGCTCAGCTCACTGTTAGACAGCACATAACATCTGACTCCTCGCCTAGTTAGCGCATTCTAACAGCTTTTGTGTGAGCTGCTTGGCTGTCATTGTTCTACCAGTGGATTTCTAGAACTGTGTGGTTTATCTTTGTGGTTACTGTTAAAGGATGGAAAAGAGAATTTGTTTAACAGATTCATGTTTTGCTACACATCGTAGCAAAGCTTCTGTCTTTTATGGGGCATTTCAGTATAGCAAAGAAACAAATCCTTCCTCTCTTGCCCCTTCTTCCCCTCTTCTCCCCGGTGTGCATAAGGTGGACAGCTTGCGTATCTAATATTCCCTGACTGAAGCAGTCAGATCTGCTACTGCATCAGGTGAGTCCAGAGGTGTACACTCGTAGAATCTTTAGATTAATACTTTGGTGTCCTTGAAAGAGGAGGATGCCCTGTAAGATAAATGAGAAGCACATGAGAGGCATTGGCTATAGAGTTTCAGTCTCTGGAATCTGATAGCAAATTTGTCAACTTCCTCCACCAGAGGTTAAATCAAAACCCTTGCTCAAGGTGACTTTGTTCATCAGTAGGATGAACATGTTACCCGCATGTTTTCCCTGGGAAGGCCGGTCCAACAGTGACTTAGAATAGCATTTTGTGAGACTCTGAGAAGGCCCCATGATGGCTGATCTTCACAGTGGGGCTGCCCGAAATATCCACTGTGCAACCAAACTTATTGTCTAGAATTCTACAGTCC